CCGTGCTTATTTCGATGTAGTGTGGTGTGCTCCTTTGAGCGGCATTCATGAAAACCCTTCACACTCCACGATGTCATTCTCACCACCTTCACCCTTGTGCTGGGAATGTTGATCACAGTCTGCCATATAGTTACGCAGTCCTGCTCACAGTCTCTCTCTTGCCCCGTAAGATCCGTCTGCTCTCTCCCTAGTTCACGTATTTCACTCGAACTCTGCCACCCCATCTACACTACTCGAGGCTCAAGCCTCTGAATAAGTGTCATGGTCACGACTGCTACATGGACCATGTTTCTGGTAAAACCTACTGTCATCCAACTAGCTCCAGTCTCCGCCGCGTCTATCCTTTTTCTATTCCTAATACCAATTCTATGACTTCCCCAGGCCTAGTCTCTTGTGTGCTAATCCACAAACGTTGTGGGTCAACATTGAATCTAATCAAAGCAAGCAGTACCACAACATTTGTGGGTTAGCACACAAGAGACTAAGGCATAGGAACTCATAGATTTGGTATAATGGATAGAGAGAGGATTTAGCCTCGTATTAATCACCAAAACGCAGGGGAGGGCTAATAACGCCTCGAGTAGCGCAGATGGGGTCGCAGGAGTCGAATGAAATACGTGAACTAGGGAGAGAGCAGACGGATCTTACGGGGCATGAGAGAGACTGTGATAAGACCTATGGAAGGAGGATTGCGTAACAATATGGCAGACTCTGATCAACATTCCCAGCACAAGGATGAAGGGGAGTGAGAAGGCCAGCGTGGAGTGCGGAGGGTTCTCATGAATGCCGCTCAAGGGAGCACAACACACTACATCGAAATAGGCACAGTAATAATTGTAACAGTGAAGGCATGATAGGAGGATATAGGAAATGTGAATAGATCAGGGCAGAAGGGGAGATAACACACTTTTGGTCAAAGGATCGGCTTCACTTGTCTCCTTTACGAGTTCTAGTGTGGTGCTAAGATTGGCGAGACGTACTGACGATGCCAGCGAAACGTCTGGGAATGTACCACTTCCACGGTCCTACTCTGGAAATGATTATGCATACAATGGACTCCGGACTAGTCTTCCTACCAATATGACCAAGTTGCGAAAACAAGGTCGAACAACCTCTATAATTTGTTTGGCTGTTTGGTCAGACTTTTCACATTTTGTCGCTAAGTATATAGCCTGATTGTATAGACCTCGCATCTGATTGGCTCTGCAAAAGACACATTTTGGTGTGCATACTCTATATTCTATGACACGGAGATAAGCCAGAATTCTATGACTGATAAAATTTCTTGAAAAATATCTTCCAAAAGAGAATTTTTTACTTCCTGCTCAGTTCGCTTACATTTTAATATTTTTAAGCACGGCCTTCTGTCCTCAACTCAGCACTCCTACCGAATCCTGCGCCCCTATGCCTAGCCTCGAAGCACCTCTTGACCAAGCTTTGTACGAGCTGGCCAAGGACTCGCTCGCCCAGCAGACACTACAATTCGGCTTTCAAACTCTACTCAAGTCTCTTCTTGCCCTGGCAAATTCAGCTCAAGCATCTCGTCTGTAAATATCATATCACGTGCACATTCGACTGAATCTGATGAGTCTCACTGTGACCGCCAGTCAGGGCTCGGTCGTTCGACTTGAGAAAATATGCGGGCTGGAAAGGTAAGAGGATCCGAGTTCTCCGGTGTCTCGGTCTTCCTTTTGGCCCCCCCAACTTCTTCCTTTGCACTCAAAATGCCCCTTATCTGAAGGAAGTTCTAGTAAACTTAGAGATTTCTCATTGCCTGTATGCACTATTTTACCACTTTCAGGCTCAGCTCTTCCAAATTTTCACTCGACTGAATGAAGACTAAGATTCTGTGGCAATAATCGTTCATTGTGTAATAGTTGTTTTACCTCATTTTCTCAACTTTATCGTGTTTTCAGGACGACCTTAATTAACATACCCTGTCCTGTGTCCTTCGCCATAACAGTCGTAACAGTTTCCAGTGTAAGACCGTGGAATTGGTACATTTCCAAGTATCTTGGCCTCTCTGACAACAGGACATTGTTGCGGAAATTAGGTCAAATGATTTTTTCAGCCCTTTGTCTTCGTCAGCAGCAACAACAGCCACACTAATACTTTCCTTTTTACATGATCATAATTTGCAGTCTTTGTATTCTTTTCCTACCTCTCAGAGCCTAAGAAGTGCATGTCGCCTAGCGACTCATTATCACTCCAGCACTCTCTTAATTTGCCCTTATATTCGCCCTCCGTAAAACAAATCTATATTATTCTTTAGCTCGGCGAAAGAAGCTCTTCTCTAATTTCCTTCCGCCTTACTTCCGCCCTTATGTTGAGGGAGACGAAAAATTTAATGGTCCAAATAGTGTTGCCCCATTCATTCATCATAGTTGAGTCGAATTTTATGTCGTGTAAAAGTGGGTAAACATGAGATTTTTAGATCAATTACACCAAAAGTACCTTTTGAGTCTATTTAGAGACATAATAAAGTCTAATATGTTTTCACCAAAACCAAATTTGAGCTCTTCGGGTTCCACGTCAGCATAAACGTCACAGTAAAATCAAAGGTGAGCAGACAGAGAGAAAACCATCATCATCTTCCGGATAGATCGATCTGCAAGCCTCATAATCACACACTTAAACACCAAACGAAAATCAGCCAAAAAAGATTACTGTCCAGACATAAAGCAAACATTGTATCCGTCTGAAAAATTTCTCTTGGTGCTATTTATTATGTATTAACTATTTAAAAAGGCATACACTTCCTATACAGTGTTTTTTTAAGTTTAGCTAATTTCTAGCCAGGGAACTGCCCCAAAACGATCTTTTTCTCGGACTATTTATCACATAATTTTCAGGTTGGGAACAGACTGGCATGCTTTTGCAAAAAATCTACCTAGTACCTTAAACCGAATCATTCCTAGATGCATACCCAAAATTCAGATTATCAGTGACCATGAACCACATCTCATAATAATATTGCTGATATGTCTG